TAACAACTTTGGTAAAAAAGGGCTATAGAATGAGGCATGAATCACTTAACAACTGCCTCAGTCAGCAACAGAAACTTTGGGCTAAATTTAATAGAAAATGTTTTTCCTCATGTATAGTAATAAGACAAAAGAGAAAGATATTTACTGCAAGTATAAAATTATCACTTCATTTGTATTACTTTGTAACAAAATAAAGCATAGACTAAATCATCAGTCTCAGCTGTACCTATGTCACATGAAGCCTTTCTTGCTAATGGGAAAGGTACAATACCAGTTCGGTACATTTTTGCCAGTATGCCATAAGTACACCCCAAGCCCAATGTTAACCCAGCTGGAGTCTTCAATCTAAAGAATACCTTGCAAGTGAACATATTATAGCACATACACTATCAGTTAGGAGGTAAGTGCATCATTCTGATGCACTCATTATTTTTTCCCTATTAAAATCATCCATTGTACAAAATTACATGAAGAAAGTACAATGAGAACAAACAAATGTATTTTAGCAGAAATATATGCACTTATAAGAACCATGCTATTCATGTGGTTCTTGAACTAAATTTTTATCCAGACAACAGAAATTCTTTAAAACAGTAGATGACATTGTATGATAGCACAGGTGATACAAACAAAAAAGAAATACATGATTGAAAAATAATAGCTTAGTTTTTAATAAGAAAGATTTGCACAGTCTGGCTATTGCACATGATTTTGGTTATTTTTAAATTTTACTTTGGGTGTCAGGCCTTTTGAGTGTCTTGGAAAATTTATTTTGGATGTTAGGTAGGCTGTGGTTATACTTTATTTTATTACAAAGTATTATTTTAAACATTTTATTGAGCAAAGTGGTAGAGATCCATCTTCTGTTGATCTCATGAGGAAGATTATGACTTGAAATGTAAAAGCAATATATGGTAAAAATCATGAATTAGTGGAAAGAAATGAAAGAAGGAAATGGGTATGCTGTGGTTTTATGTGAGAAAGAGAAAGGGAAAAAATATCATAAATATGAATGGAGGTAATCTATTTAAATAGATTCAATAATTAAAAGGGCTAAACTGTGACGGAGCATATGAATTAGTGTCATCTAGATATTTATAAATATATACAGAATATGAATATTTATTTATAAAATGTATATGTATCTCCTATCACTATTCATGTATCTCTGGGCAGCTTATAATGCAATAAAAACATAAAGATAAAAACATTACAATTAACAAGAATTAAATAAAACTAAGAACCAAATGCACAGTGATAACAAAGGTGGGATTGCTGTTGCTTCTCTATTATTCCACCAACCACCTTCAATGTAACATATCCCCTTTGAGGCCTGAAGCCAACCAGCAGAGCCAATTTTGGGAGTCCTCCCAGAAGGCCAAGAGTATGGGGACAGATTATTATTTATACTCCATTGAATGAAACTAATGACAGAAACAGAAACAAGTTATGGGGAAAACTGTGCAAATGAGCAGTGACAATTTATTACTGTCATATAATATCAATATTTCTGGAGCTACACTGGTTGCTGGTTTGGATGCAATTGAAAGGGCTAGCTATAGTCTATAAGTTATAACCTATAAGGCCTTATTCCAGTTGAGTTTGGAATCTTTGGAACTATCTAGTCCAAATAGAATCTTCCTGACCAAGACCTTGAGATGTATTGTGTGCTGAAATCTCCGTGGGATGTAGTGGGAAGGAACTGGGAGGCTAGTGCTCCTGTGAGTTGGAATAGTAGCAGGTATGGTGTTGATAAAGGTCTTATAATATCCAGAAGGACACTGTGAAGATGATTTTTGGAAATGAAGATGAAGGCTGGCTGCTAAAATGACTAAGACAAATTCAGACAATTCCTAATGCTTGCTGGAGATGGAGTGTTGGTTTTAATACAGATAATGAGGACAGGGGGTAATGGTCCTAGAATTGGGACAAAATTTGTACTGCTGAAGATTCATTAACTCATGAGTACTCACAATTCCATGAAACATTTGAGGTTGCAATCAAGAGATGATTCCCCAAGAAGGAAAAGCATGATTGATATCTCTGACCAACATAGTTGGCACAGAGGAGATATATCAAAAGATAGAAGAAAGATTTATCTGTCTACCAATAGCTGAATGAAGGCCAACTGTCAGTTCATCTGAGTGACAGAGGAAGGAAAATGGCCCATAATTCTGCAATTTCTTTTTTAGCTCTCAATAGGAATAGTTCTAGTATTTAGCAACACAAAGTGGTACATACATGCTAAGAACATAAATATGCCAATATACTCATGTTTAGAAGAGCTTTGAGCTGAACGTTTTGCAGGTAGTCCTCAACATACAACCATAATTGAACCCAAAATTTATGTTCTTAAGTGTGACGTTTGTTAAGTGAGTTTTGCCCCATTTTGTGACTTTACTTGATGCAGTTGTTAAGTGAATCATTACAGTTGTTAAGTTAATAACCTGGTTGTTAAGTGAATTTGGCTTCCCCTTTGGCTTTGCTTGTCAAAAGGTTGCAAAAGGTGATCACATGAGCCCGGTACACTGCAACCATCATATGAACCAGCTGCCAAGCATCCAAATTTTGATCATGTGACCATGGGGATACTGCAGTGGTTGTAAGTGTGAAAAAAGATCATAAGTCACATTGTCCAGTGCCGTTGTAACTTTGAACAGTCACTAAATGAACTGTTGTATGACAAGGACTATCTGTAGAATAGGAAAAAATCTTGTTTCCTGTATCTTTACAGTAGCTTTTTGCTTTGGGAACAAAAAGAACTTTTCTCTGAAAGATGAGGCAAGTAGAGGTTTGTAATTCACTTGCTGGGGATTAGGCAACTAAAACTACAGGTAGTCCCTCAACAATTGAGTCCAAAATTTCTGCTGCTAAGTGAATTTTGCCCCAATTTATGACCTTTCTAGCCACAGTTGTTAAGTGAATCACTGCAGTTTGAGTGGTCACTAAATGAACTGTTGTAAGTTAAGGACCCTGTACTTTTTCACTGTCTTAAATAAAATAACGAGAAAATTGGAATATTATGTGGTGTTGCATTTTTCAATTAAGTCCTCAAATATATGCCATGACAGTCCACTTGACCTCTAATGTATTTACTGATAAGTATGTAAAGAATCTTGTAGGTCATGCATTCTGTGTACTTTTGTGTGCACATGTACTCAACATAGAGACAAAAACCTGTCTTGTAAAATCACTACATTAATTAAAGTCAGTCAAAACAATATGAACTGTGCTAGTTTAAAAGTTATTGATTATTTCAATTTAAATTTTGTTTATTTTCCCAGTTGCTGTTATTCAACATTCTAGATATAAAAGTGTTATTTTAAATATATAAATATGGTATCAAACCTCTCTACAATTTATGCCTGCTCCCTTTATGTTATGTATTCTGATTTAAATTATAGCTTTTAAGTTATAATTTGTTTTGGTAGGAGGACCTTTGCACAATTACATAATATAGCCTAGTTATGTCCTTTTCTAGATTAGGAAGCCTTATTCAGTCTCTTATGCTTGAATACCATCTGGTACATCATGCAATTATGGACACACCAAGGTTTACACATGTAATGCTACTACTAAGAGTTGCATTGCCTACTAGTTCATTTCTGGGTGCAGTTGATGCTGCTGTTGGCCACCTTTAATCTATAATAGCTCTGTATAATGGGTAAAATATAGTATTTTCTTTATTTTATAATACCGTATTCATATTCTAAGCAAAGAAAAAAAGCTTATCTGCAAAGTTTAAAGCACTGTTTAAAATTAGAAAACTAATAAAATATTATATATAAAAAAGTTTAAAGCACTGTATTGCACTATCACAAATAAGTTAGACAAACAGATGGGATCCAATGGTTATTTTAATAGAACAGATTCTATTTACCTGGAAAAAAAATCACTTTTGTTGTCATAATGCAAGCTTTGCATACCATAAGTCTTTGATTTATAGTCTCGGTTTTCTATTTTCACATCTGATCATAGTTTTGCTTTCAATATATTTAAAAGAACAGTTTATTTAATAGAATAATTTATATTTCGTTTGCTGATAGCCCAAAATTGGAAGAGCCCAATTTTGCCTACAATGGAAGACTGGAGATTGAAAGTTTCGAATCTTGCTGAAATGGCAAAGATTTCGGCTTATTTGAAAAATTATTCGAATGAACAATTTTTATCAATATGGAGAAGATGGATTGTTTATATTCAAAAGAAGCATAGAGTGGTAGAATATAACTTAGGTTTTTAGATTTTTTTGTTTTTATCTTGTTTACTCTTTCTATCTCTTTAAGTAGATTAAGATATTTTGTGGAGTTAGAGATATTAGTATTTGATTACTTATATATGAATATTATCCTGGGATTAGGTTTGGGAAGTCCGGGGGGTGGGTGGGGGATTTTACTTGTATTTATGTTTATGATTGTTTTTTATGATGAAAAATAATAAAATTTCTTTGAAAAAAAAAAGAATAATTTATATTTAAGTAATTTGTAGACTTTAATGAAAAAAATATATAATTTCTTATGTAACAAATACACAGAGATAGGACTTAAATCTCAGTTACCTATTAAATATGTACATGCATTTTGGCCCTTGAAAAATGTTCCCAATAGAATCTTCTGTTTATATTTTGTACAGAGTATATTTAATGTCTACAGTGTTTTGAAAAAAGAGTCCAATGGACCCGGTGAGATTTCTTCATAAAAATGCATAGAACTGTTATGTAAACATTTTATAGTTTTAATTGGATATACCCTTAAAGGGCAAATTGCATATTTCCCCCAGTGGACCATGTTTTATGAGGATGATAATGTTCTGCTCAGCTGTTGTTTGCAGTTTCTGGTGTATTATTAAATTGTTTTCTCTGGTGTTCACTTTTTATTCATTGCAGAAATTTTAAGTCAAAAGTATATAAGCAATTTCATTCTTGACAAAAGAAAAACTCTAAAAATACAATGCATTTAAAGTATTTGTTGTTTTTTTTGTTTTTTTGTCCCATCACATTTTAG